CCAAGAAAGAGCAAACCCTTTGGTTTCCCATTTACTAAATATTATTCTTTACAGATTGCACATACTCTCATTAAAACTCGTCACGTTGACGGTTACATTAAACTGTCCAACTTTCTCCTCTCACGTGTCTAAGTTGAATTTTGCAGATTCTTTTTCTCCAAGTACGGAGCGAGAAAGTGAATGTTGCTCTAAAAAAAAACGTTTCAAACCTCTCCCAAAAGTTAAACAAACTTTGAAAAATTTGAAGAATCGGTATAAAAATGTAATCGTCGCTCTGGACGTTCGTATCGATGATTCCAGATGCGAATAATCGACGCGTTGAATACTTTCGAGGGAACTTTTATAGCGTGGGTCGTGAAAACGTCGGAGCAGCAGGTACGTACGTTTCGGAGACACGAATGCGTGTCATGCTCGCGGCTTTCTCTCCCGTCGGTTCTGAAACGCGTCTATGACGCGCTCGGTACGTTTCGTTTTAAACAAAGTCAGCGAACACGTTTGAAAAATTTCACCAGACGCGACGTTTTCTCTGACGTTCTTTATCGTTTACGGTTTCTTAATCCCCAATTAACGCCACGCACAGCGCGAAGGAGCCAATGGTATCTCGTGCCCGCGGGGAAATAATTACGTCCTTTATTCTACTTTTAAATATTTATACGCTGGCCCTGCACGGCGGTCGACGAACCTTTTCACGTTTCCACGATACAAAGTCGCGATGATTCCGTCTTTGATTCGACGTCACGTATACGGAATTCTCATAGATAAATTGTTTATCTGGCGCGCATGCGCGGCAATGTAACCGGATGCGCGCCTACTTACGTATCCGCATCGCAGAAATAGTAAATCATCGCCTCTTATCAGTTCCCACCGCGACTGCACGAGTCAATTACCAGATCTATCCGATTATCTTCGCGAGATCTCTGTTGGTCGTTGCGCCTAGGACGCAAATAAACATTCCAGGGAATTCTTTAGAATCGGTTCACCCGCCAAAGAGTAATTTTACCCACTTTACTACTCGTTATTTTTAAACCATCCACGGAAATAAAGTAGACAGCGTGTTTTAATTTTAATTTTTTTTTCTTTGTAACGTTATATTGTGAATGTAGCACTTTGAGCTCTTAGAAGGACAAGATACTGTCGTGGAATAAAAGAAATGCTGTTAGTTTGGGGGACTTTTAAACCACGTCCCTAAAATTCGGTATTCCTTTACGAAATTTTTACTCAAAAGCCAAGTATAATAAAATAAAATGTATTATATAGTTGTAAGTATCTCGTTCGCCAATATCTGTGCATTGTTTTAATAAACCATGTATAAGAGTTTAAGTTGAAAAGTAGGGAACCGTTTAAATCCAAGAGAAACTGTTAAACGATAAATTTTTTAATAAGCGATTAATTATATTTAGAAAATTAGAATGTAATTATAATATTTGCTAGAAACTTTCCTTTATTAAAGGAACGTAGTTTAAGAAACCTTCATTTAACGAATTAAAACTTTCACTGTAGTAAGTGTTCCAGATACTTTATTATTTGTGCAATTCTTTTACAAGAATACGGAAATTGCAAAAATCGAATGACCAATAATAAAAACATGCTAAGAATTGATAAAGTGAGTTCAACGGCGCGAAATCGAATCGATCAGCGATAAAATCTAGCATTTAATACATACTTTAGTAAATTATACTGTGTAGAGTACGATATTAATTTTATATAGGGAATATTATTCCACGAGAGGTGGCTACTATATCCTATATAATTTACAAAAGTATGAATTAACAGTTGGATTGCGTATTTAACTCGATTTTGCTATTAGACACAAGTAATTAATACTTAGGTGACTGTGTTTTATTTGTTCACCGGTTTTTTAAGACTTTCGTGCTCTTAAGGGGTCTGGTAACTCTAGAATATTGAAAACTTCGATTTTTTTTTTTTTGGCTTAAATAATGGTTTGAAGCCTTAAAAACATTATGCGAATGGTCTCAGTGTCGGAACAATGTTTTTGCTGAAAATTTAGAGCCCCAAACGATGACGTGTATCTGCGTCCTGTAGCGCGTTAAATGCATTTTCCTCGGAACTATGTTTTACAAAACGGTGTGTAGCATTACTCCAGTTCTAATTAATCAATTGCTTTGAAAATTTACAGTTATCTTTACTATTATATTTATTAGGCATTGACGATCCGTTTTTTTCAAAATTGTCAAATAATTCTGCAAAATATTCGTAATAAGAACTCGTTTTTGTGTTAAAATTCGATTTTAAGTTTCAAATATCTGCCACATTGTTCATTTTTATATAAATTGAAATGTCTCATCGTCAATGCCTAGGACATTTATCATAGTTAATGGAATATTTCGGTTTTTGTTGTACATAACAACCATTTTACCACAATCCTGCACACCAGCTGGCCATCAAAACAAGAAGTGGCTCGGGAACATGGCGCTGTGTAGGCTTAATTATAAATATTTTTTAAACATTGCCAAGGGTTTTTTTCAACATTTGTTATACCTAAATACAGTGCAAAGTTTCAGAATAATTGAATGCTTACTTTATCTTCAGTGTTGCTTAAAAAAATGCCTCGTTTTCCATACCGCTAGAGGTACCAGACCCCTTAAATTATTGGCGCTTATGGTCGATATTAGTCAAGCTATCTACGAAGTCGTTTAATGCGATCGAACGCTTCTTATTGCTGGGAATGTTGCGCAGAATTCCAAAGGCATATGCAATATTTCTCGATACAATTTAACTGCTGGCAGCCGAATGGAAGCCGCGAACACGGCGTGTCGCTTTTTATCTTCTCAAACTCGTTGCTCGAACGACAGGAAATTTTCGACAGAGGTCAAGATACCGGTTTCAGCATCAACCGCGCGGGTTCTGGTTTTAAGGGGGATTGTCGAATGACAGGTCTAAAAGTAGTTGTTATTTAGGAATTATTTCTCACAAAATTATTCGCTACATTGAACTCTTTTTGATCATAAAAGAAAACATCTTTGAATCGTAGACAAAAATTTTTTATTCCCATTTCTTCTTTAACAATAATTCTTTTACATTTTATCAATATCTTCATCGAATCGCAGCAAATGAAATTTTCTCTCAAAGATGAAAACTTTTGGGACTGAACCTGACTTGGGGGGAAAAAAATTGACGATTTTGAAGATTCATAACTTGTTAAAGAAAGTTTACTTTTTTCTTTAATACTATTTTACTGTGTAGTATTATTGTAAATGAACGATAAGATCAAAATTGCAGGTTTAGTCCCTAGACGAATATTAATGAGTACATTTTACATTTTACATCACAAAATCGATATTTTTCTTCCTCATAAAATCTCTTGTTTACCAATTTTGTCTATTTCTGTTTCGAACTTTCTGTACTCCGATGCTCCGTTTTCTTGTTATCATTGTCATTGTTATTTAATTGTTATTACTAGACTGCGGATCTTTATGCAAATTCACATTTTTATTAATAGAATTAATGAAACGGAAGCTTCGCAGAGGGCTGTCTCAAACCCTAAATATAATAATTCGTATCTTACTTTAAGTATTTCTTATATTTTTGCATATTAAATGCGTTCTATAGTTTTTTGAGGATTAAAATTTCCCATAAATGCATAAACATCCGCAGTCTAGTTATTACAATGTTTAAAACCTCCACTAAATGTTGCGTCAGCCAGAAAAGCATTCAATCCTTCGTTTCCATAAAGTCTCCTTGACCAAATCTTCGTAAATTGATAATAAATGACTGGAAACTCCTTTGGAAAACCTGACTGGTGCTTATGTTCTTTTAATTTTGCTTCTACCACATGCTGCTTGCATAGTAGCATACCAACTTTCACGTACCCGTTGGCAGTATTGATGTTGCGGTTCTTCATCGGTTCAACACATACGGTAACATGTGGCTAAGATGGGGTTCTTCATATTTATTACAAAATCCGAATAGCTGGATCATAATATACTGTTAACTTTTGCATGAGTGCATCTTCTCTCCTTTTCATAACGTTTCGAAGACACGTGCCCTATACATTCATTTCGTCCAATGTTACATCTTCGACATACGGTTGGAAATCAAGAGTTTCATTTTTGATACATTTCACACTGAATTAATTTCCCGATTTCAAAAACACTTCTTTTACGGCGTCTACTCCCATTTTCGATGATAATTATGGAACTTATTTCTCCTTTCCTTGCCACTTCTCACTTGTGAATCATCTTTTACGAGTTTCACATGGATAACACACTTTTGACACGTGTCAAATCTCCACCCATACACCCACGTGCAAAAACTTAATACAAAAAGTAGTTTGCACGAATCTTAAAACATTGATAAAAATGAAAAATCGATTTTTTTAACCTGTCGCTCAACGATCCCCCCTTAACTCATTGACTGCCGTGTCACCCATACGTGACATGATTCTTCACTGGGGAGCTAAAACAATTAATTCTCGAGATTAGATGTTAAAGAAAATAAATCTAGATAGGACTCTTGAATTTCAATTCTTCAATTTCTGTCGTCTAAAAACAAGGTTTCGTTTCCATGGACAATTCGAGGGGTTCGGTCCGGCAGTCAACGGCGTTAAAGGCCTATCGAACAGGTTCCACGCGTTAATTCCCCGAATATCCGCTTCTTCCTGCGTACGAGGACGATCCCAGAGACAGCAAGCTCCAGGCGTCAAGATTTCTACAAAGTCTAATCTCTAATGATCATTAGCACCGCAGTGGAACATGCGAGCTCGGAAAGTGTGCCTCGAATTGATCTCCATCTCTCCCGTCAGGATTCCTAATTACCTCCTAGCATGGTTCGCGAGGTCTGATGTTTCGCAGGATGCTAAGCGTCTCCCTGATGCACGAGCTAAATTACCCCGAGACAAAGTGACCATCGGGCAGAAACGCGTAACGTTGCTTGTAACTGTACAGCGGTGTGTTTGCGTACCCTAAATTCCTCGTCTCGTGCCCCTCGCGTTCGATAATGGCGCGCATTCGGCGCACAAAACAGCAGAAAACGGAACATACCTGGTAGGATGAGGAGCAACAAGGTCACCAGGACCTTCGACTCCACGCGTCCCGCCATCCTTCGTTCTCTTCGCGCGTCGGCGGTCGGAACGGTGCGCCGTTGTTTGTTCTTCCTGATCAAGGTCAGGCTAAACGCCAAGGACACGCTGATGGATCTCCTCAGGAGCACCTGCGGTGGCTGGACCAGTCTTTGTCGTCGCGAAACGTGCCACGGTACCAGCCGCCATTTTGGATCGCGAGCCTACGCCGTGCAAAAACCTCGGGCATCGTCGAAACTTTGATGTCCCCGGGTGTTCGCCATTCTTTCCTCTCCTCGTACGATCCTTCCCACCGACGGCGGGCCTTTTTTCTTCTCGTTTCGTTCGGTCTCGCACTCTCGCGCACGACGGCTCTGACCTACTTCGCCCGCGGTTAGGTCCGGTGTACACGTCAGTTTTTCGGAGCGGTATGCGTCCACCGGCGGTTCGTCACCTTTTCCCTCGACTTTTCTGCCCGCTCGAAACTTTCTCGTCTCGTTCAATCGACTCGAAGCCGCTGTTTCACCGTGCCTGGCTATGCGGGTCGATGCGATGCACAGATACGTCCCGCGTCCTTATTACGAAAAGAGGAGATTTCTCTCGTCCAATGAATTTAGAAACCCAGAGCTGCACGGTTACCCTCCAATTTCCCTCGTTTCTCGACCTGTTCCTTATCCTACATTTTACATACGGTCGAGGTGTTGCGCGAGTCAACTGTGTTCCACAAAACGACACCGACTTTCCGTACACTGTCGACGTTCGATCGCACCCATTCGTCGGCAGCTGGTGTTCTCGAACGTGAAATTCACGATCCGTGGACGGGGCTCACTGGATCGCGCTGAAATTCGTCTGTCGTCGATCGACCGGCGCGATCGAACGTGTATCGAACGAGGAAGTCGGCCTGTAAGGTGAACGAAAGATTTCAAGGCTCGATGGAGTTTCGTTCAAGGTTTGCTTCGCGGTCGTTCACACGGGACTGGCTTACGGCGAGGACCAGTGTTGCTTCGAAAGTGGCTAAAAGTAGTGGGAGGTAGCAAACGAAGTTGGAGGGGGAACTTTAGAAATGGGAGTGGGAATTCCTTAGCAACTGATGCATCCCAACTTGAGACGCGATGCCATTTCTAGCCGATTCGTAGACGCGTTTGGAGCCACTTTTTCAGAAATTTCGTTATTCTTGGGTAGCTTCTCATTGTTTTGTTTTTGTTAGAGGTAAACGGGGTACCCGAAGGTTTCATTTATATGCCATATGCTTGTGAAACCTAGTATCAAAATCTGGTAAAAGAAAACAAGTCACGATATTATTGTGTCATTTAATTTGAAAAGTTGCAATACGAGTCATGATTGCACGAATATAATTTGAAAAAGAATGGATGCAACAGAATAGTTCAATTCAATTCGCTGAACAAGTTGAAAGTCATTCTAGAAACTCAGTTTGCGGAATGTTTTATAGCATTGAAAAAACGTAAACGTTAGAATAAATGTATTGTAAGCAATTACTTCGCGAGTGACCAAGGAGAAATTTATGAACACACGAACGGTTTGTCTTTTATTTGTCAAAATAGAGGATTTCACAGACTTTCAACTTTTAATTTGTTTTTGCGACTGTCTATAAAACAAATGTATCGTTCTCATTTTCTTTGCATTTATAGCCTCGAAGAGTATTTTGATAATAATATACAGACACTTCAAGAAACTACATATCGAACGTATTGCAAAATCAAGAACAAAATGATCGAATCATGCGTTTTCCGAACTTTTGTTTACAGAGTTCTAGCAAAGCGTTTTGAACGCTTCTCGAGTTTGTATCCTCGATCCCAAGACACTTTCGAACTATTCATATTCCGTTATTACTCCTGTTAGCAGAAATCATTTTGCGTAGTTTGAAATTCTGGAATTCTATGGAACGGAATAATAACACGCATCGCATCCCCATTCGTAAGACGGGAATTTAATGAGATAACAACGTAGAACATTGAAGAAATCATTTCACGCGATTATAGCAATTTAACGAGAGAGTTGCAAACTCATGACAGTTCAACAGGTGCGATCCCCTCCCCTCCCCGGAAAAAGGAGTTTCTCCGGAACGTCTCGACCGTTTCTCTGTGCCCAGTGTTCGTTGTTGTTACACGGCAGCGACCCTTCGTTTTCTTCTTGTTCTTCCTCTTTCCTTCTCGGTATGGTAAAACCAGCCTGGAATGCACAGGACTGCCTCACCGAGATCGGTCGAGCAACATTGATCTTCGAGACGACGGGTGGTTCGCGAAGTTGCATCGTAATCCTCGATCTCTCTGCAAGCGAAATACGATTGAGAAAAGTTACCTAACGCGTGGTGGTTGGAGCCAGGCAAAACTTTATTTCCGACTAACGGATAGAAATGTTTAATTCGTTCGTGAACTAGCTTCCGTCTTCGGTAATAAATTTGAATCCATTAAAATACTTTGTTTAAAAAACGTAGGTCGAAAAGCAGGTTACGAACAAATTAAACATTTCTATTCCCAAATACCGGGGATATTTACGTAAAAAAATTTACGTTTCGTTTGTAAATTAATTCGTAAAGGAGGATGTTAAAAAACTGCCAAATTTTATTGTATCGTAACGCAAAATATTTTTAAAGTTTTTGAAAATTTATTGGACATCGTTTTTTTGCAGTTAACCATTCTTTTGTATCTCGAAACACCATCGATTGAGAACTGAATAACTTTGGAACGTCTTACGGAACATTGCTATAAATTGTTAGCTTGTTAGTTACATAGAAGCTCGTGTGTACTGATACGAAGAGAACGGAATTTAGAGACGCGCGTGTCTCTAAATTCGTTGTTCCCTTTTAGTACGAATCAACCGTTTTCAGGTTTCGATTAGAATTCTTGGGCAGTGTTCCTCGAAGTAACGAAGTCTATTTACCCATTGACCTCACGTAACACAGACACACCTGTTTCCTATCCTCAAACTTTGAGAAGCTTCGACTGGCTCGTCCGCGTTGCAACACACGCCGCATAAAGAATTAAAATTGCACTTCTCTATAACGGGTAGCCCCCTGGGCAAGTATCCATGAAATTACTCGGTCAGTAACTTATCCTTATCCGGGAGGGGGATAATAGAATGAGAATCGTTTGGTTATTCCGATCGGATCAAAGAACAGAATCTATTTTAAATATCCTGTATCGCTGTACAAGTAATGCTAATGTGGCATTAAGTATTCGACGCATCGGTTACAGTGATTTGCACTCTATTTATAACCAGTGTTTGCTTTATGTCATCCTCGAGTAACGTTCCCGGCGTTTGATATTTAATTAATGATTTCCTCGCGCGCTGAAGCTGATCCGCCGCTGAGAAAGTAGCTAGTTTAATAACCGGACACTGGAAAGACAGGTTCCCTCGGTCGATAATAAAACCCTGCAACACTCAGCAGTCGGTAAATTAAAAGTTCCAATGTGCAATAAAATTTGCAGTTAATTTACTATGTTGATAATTTATGGCACGGGTGTTGTATGCCCAGTTTTAGCGATTTCGAGAAAAACAGGTTCCAGGATTAAGTGGTATTTGAGTAAATACTTTTTTATGTATATCTTGTTACTCCAACATAGATTAGTCTAGATTATATTGAAAACTTAATAATCAGTTTTTAATAAAAGTTAGAAAGAATAATTGAGGCAAAAGGAAACAATATATTGAGTACTAATCTTAAATTGGTAGTTTTGTTCGTTTATTTATACAGAAATGTAAGTATTAATTTCAGTTACTCGCTAAATAATCTATGTACTATAAGGATATACAATGAATAAAACCGATATATACAATAGTAATAACAGTTTTATTAAACTCCATGGATAACTATTTCTGTTGTCTGCACACTGAGTTTTGTCTGGAACCGTATATGGATGGAGCCACGTGTTGTGGCGGGGGCAGCAGCCCGGTGACCTTGAGCGGCCATTAGATCTCGCGCGAACCCCATCGCGCCCGTTTCATCCGCGTTTTCCTATGCAGCACGCAGCCGGTATACGACCGGGAGCGTATTCTCTATTTTCATTCCAAGCTGGACCGAACAATGGGGGATCTAAATTGGGCAAAAACCAGTCTGCCGTCTAGTTTGGCGAGGCCGAAGGCGTTCCGCGGCGCAGACGGGAACAACGACGGCAGCCAGGGGTCCCACAATAAGGCCCCGTCGACGTGCGTGGCTACTAGCAGCCGCTGCCCAAAATCGATCGACGCTCGTTTCCGCGGCCTCACGGCCCACGGAGCAGCTCCGGGTGAAAGTGGTAATTAACGATGCTCATCGAAGGAATGTCCCATTCCACTGTTCGTTCCGGTGTGATCGGCGTGGGGGGAGGGGGAAGACCGTGTCGCGAGTGGTTCATCGCACTCCCGACCGGTTATGACACCGCTCGCTTTTTATTTATTCACCGCTTCTTTATCGCGCGACTCTTCGAAACAATTCCGTCGGGGCGCCTCTGACCGTTTCCGCTCGTCCAGAATCGCCGTAGGAACGTTACCACGTGACTGTACACGCTACTCGTCTAATTAGAATCACGTCTCGAATCCGCGCGATCGTAGCTAGCTATAATCGCATTTATTCTTAAAATGGTGCGGTAACAGACCGTGGCCGGCATTAATTTCTAAATAGTGTGTGTTGTCCAACTTGTGAGAATATTTAAACTAAACTGTTATACTGCTTGAACTTTCGCCTGTTACCTAACCAAGAAATCCTTGCTTGTTCCAAGAATCGAGGTATGGTTGATGTTCCTGACAATTCTTTCTCGCGGCAGGAATTTTACGATGTTACGCAGCCGATATTTTAAGTTGGTACACTTTGGTGTACTCACCCCCGACTGTCGAATTTTTGTTCGACGGTTTCGAAGTTGCTCGTGCGGTGTTGTCGCCAAACATAAGCGCGCAGACGCGTCGATTCTTTTGCACTGATCGCCAGTGGCTGCCGCGTAATCGTGTTTCAATGCGCCAAACGGTTCGTGCAACCATTTTATTGTACGGATTGATGGGCCAGTTACGATGACAGTTGTCTAAAAGGTCAGGATTATTTTTAGCGTTTCGGCCCAACACGAAACGAGAGGACGTCCGACGGGGTCGATACGCGCCGGTGTTGCAGATAAGTGCCCGGAATGCACATTTTCGTGGCATTTCGTGGGGGTTTCGAGGGTGTACAATCGGTTCATTGTGCTCTCCTTCCTCCTCTCTCTCTCGTTCTGCTTCGAATTACATTCATAGGGGCCTCTGTCGAGTTTACCAGGTGCACGCGGTTTCCAGGTGGCGAGAACTGAATTTCGAGATCGATTGGATGGACAACGATAATCTTTAACAATAGATCGATAAACGGGTTCTTTTCACAAATATAACCTTTGATAAAATAACGACGATATACTTATTTTTTCTACTTATTATTTTAACCCTTATGTCAATAACCGGATATCTGGACATCCCTTCCCAGATTTTGTTCAAAAACTCTTGATATTTTCAGGATTCAGGATCGCTATCAGATCTCTCGCTAGATAGCGCTCAGTATCAGTACAGTCTTCTGTTCCCATTACAACTAATGAAAGCATAACTTCGAATAAGAGAAGTATATTTCAAAGCCAGGTTATGTCTCCTTTTCGTACAAGATGCAATCGAGAAAGAACGAAGGATAGAAAGAGATATGAGGTTTAAATATTATAAACAACGAAAAATAATATCTCTGTTGACCCACAGCAAGCCGCCGTGCAAAAGATATCTTTGATGGTGGCACGCGTCGCAAGCCACTACAGTGCTCAAGAATATCTCTAGATACTTGGTTTGGTAGTAAGTACTTGACACTTTACCCGATAGTTTTCCCCAAAACATATATTTTCCTCGAGAATACACGTTATTATCGAGAAATGCATGCTGATATCTTCATTGGTTTGTAAAAAACCATTTGTAACACTTTATTTGAACCATGTGATAAAAATTTAAAAAAATAATCCCCACATAGGGTTGAAACGTAAAAAATTGGCTAATTTCTTCTTCGATTAGAGAATAACAAGTCGCTAAATCAGTTATGCTTAATTATTGCAAAATTGTAGTAGAATTTTATTTACTGATACGAATAAACACATCAAACAACATTAAAGAATTAATTTTCTTCATTTCATTTGAGAAATGGAATTTTTATTTCTTGTAATTTCTGTTTTTATATTCGTATACTCATTGGGGGAGGGTCAGAATTTGTACCGTAATTTTTTCGAAGAGGGATGGTAGATATTTTTGACTATGACAATAACTGACGCGAGAAAGAGAAGTAAAAATCAGTCGAATGTAATTTATAAACGTACCCTAAAGTATTTTAAAACGTTTCATTGTTTTTTCCGACAGACCGTGTAGCTCTCATAATTTAACGGATGTCCTCGAGGGAAAACAATATACATATAGTCGTTTTCCCGGTGCATTCTTGTTATATGGCACATAACGGCACTCGATTCCCTTCCATTCTTAACGTCGTCGTATTTTCTTCCGCTAACGTCTGTCTCATCGTCTAACTCCTCTTGTCCACGGTAACGGCCGTGTCGTAAATACTATTGTCCGTTTTTCCCATGTCCCAACCGCAATTCACTGCAATAATCGAGCATTTCGGTAAACTGGAAACGATGATAACTTATTTTTGTACTTGCCGTTTCCCGGATTAGTCATGTTTTCGTGAACTCATACGGTGAATAATTATAAGCAACATTGATTCATCAGCATCGGTGACTAACTATTATTGCGAACAATATCGAAACTCGAGACATAGCCTTAATCCTGGACTAGCATTTCTCAACCGGGATGAAATTCCTCCAGGAGGAAACTTTAGCGTTTGCAGGGAGGGGATTGGAATCACTATCCAACAAAATACAATGTCCTATCATGCACAATCTATAAAATTCTATTTTCTTTTTAAATTAATATATATTCGTGCAAATATTAACTGTCATTAAGGATACATGTAAGGTAAGAACAATATTTCAACTAATTTGTAGTTAAAGCTTCATGCACCCAGCTATTCATGTATAACAACCTATTCAATAAATAAATTGATCTTCTATAAATACAAATATGTTGTGGTTGTAACCATACGTAAGGACAAAATAAGTATTTAGTTTCGACTCTTCCACTTGCAAGGCTTTTTCAACTTCGAATTAACCTCGAAGCGATTCGTTGCCATCGCCAGAACGAATGATCGGCTCGTAGTAAAATTTCGAACGGTTGTTCGTCATTTTAATTTTGAAATATAGTTTGTCCGTGTCCGGGCGCACGACTCCTCGGTCCTCCGTTCCGGAAATTCGAGCGCCGAGTGAAAGGGGCGCGCGTATCTCGGTGGGATCGCGGGCGCCGTCAGAACCCCTTGTCCAGCGGAGGATCGAGAGTCACCCTACGAAGGGCACCGGCGATAGTGGTCCGGCCCTGGCCTGGAGAGTCTCCCGGCCCATTCCATTCGAGGGCCGTCGTCTCTCGCGTACATCGGCCGCCGGAGGAAGCATTCCATTCATGTTTCGGGACGCGCAACGGACGCTGCGAGGAGGACGAGAGTGAGAAAGAGCCAGATAACCGGGACTCCTCGCGAGGACTAGCGCTGCCTGGCGCCACCGACAGGAACAAGGACCTGCCGATATGCAGTGCTCGAGATGACAATCGGCGTGTAAACGGTGAGAGAACGAACGCTCGGGCCACGTGGTGCTCGTCGGGAGTTTTCTCGTCACACGTCGGGTCTTGACGGCACCCTGCACTTCCGTGGAACATCGTCCGGGGTGAGTTTCCTACGATTAATCGCGCGGTGTGCCGCGAAGTGACTGACAGATCGTCGATTCCGCCGTACGAAATCGACTAATTGGGGGGAATCGGGGAACGTGCACGCTGACGCGACCGCTCCACGGTGCTTTGGAACAGTGTCGCCTCTGTCCGTGAGTATCGTGGGTGTCCTGCGAGGGATTATGGTGCTAGACTGCGGGAATTGTGATCGCGCTGATCCTCGGGGTTACGTGCGTTCCTCTCGCGTTCTCGTTCCCGTCCGCTCTCCGTCTCCGATCCTTCGTCCCTCTCGTTCTCGTTCGTCGCGTCGCCGTGTCTTCGTCTCCCTTTCCCTGCATCCTTTTTACACGAAACTCGCGGACCAAGGAACCAACAACGCCGGAACGAACGAACACTGGCAGGCACGGCGATATTTTACGATCGCGTGGATGTTGAAATAACGGAAACACGCGTCACGACTCGCGTTGCGGTTCTTACGATACCGGCGAACTTTCTTCGACCGTGACGATAGTGTCAAGTGCAGATGACGGATGGAAAGTACGTACGCGTCGCGTCGGTTCGACACGAAAGTGACCCACGAGCTGCACTTCGCGTCGTTCATCCCACCGTCAGATTGTTTTCGTTGTCCGGAAAATTAGTGTCTAGATAGCGTGGCGTCTTTATCGAACGAATAAAAGTAGTTTACAATAGAAGATAACGACGTATACATTTGATGTATGTACAGGCGCCGGCTGTCTTTAAACTCTTAAATATGTATGACGAATACTGAACAAACAGATAAATCTTTGACGAGTTATTCAAGGTATCTAAGATTGGTGTGTCGATCGAAGATCTACATTTGTTTCGATCGATAATAGAAGTCTGAATTGGACGAATAGTTTCCAGGAAATCGAAACTTGTTATTAGAAAAAAAATAAACAAAATTTTGTATACATTACATTACAATTATTTTAGGACAAAATAACACGCTATATTTTATATTTATACCTTGTTTAGCTAGAATAACTCCGTACGTTTGTTCGAACGAAAACTAATTAGAATACATATTTTATTACAACAAATTTCTGTTCGTTATTGATAAATATTCGAATAACGGTAAATCGAAGCCTATGAATGTAACAATTATATTAAGAATATTGAGAAACACTGCCCCGATATTGTCTTCGAGCAAAAATTGTTCGAAAGAAAAACGTACGGGTTAGGTTAGATTTCACCGACAACGAAAACAACGGTGCCGAACGGACAAGTGTGACATTCACGCTTTATACGGGCAAAGAATTCCAGGAATTTCAGGAATCATTGCCGCCCTCTACGATGCATCGCCGTGAGTCATGGTCGTGTCCCTCGTAGACGGGTTATTACTATTCGAACGTAACGCCGCGTTTCCCCGAACGTCCGACGCAATTCATAAGTCATCGTTGTTCCCCGTGAAGCGACATAAATTGAAAGCGAGTCACGGCGGTCCTGGCAGTGGGTAATTTCGAGGGCTTCCCGTAGCGCGTATCGGGCATCCTTAGTAGCCGACGCGACGCGGCGCGTCGGGGTCGGGTCATGGCGCGTCTCTTCCAAACTCCTCTCTATCCTCCCTCTCCGCGTGCATACGGATAAGCCGATCGCGTCGAGGCGGCAGGAGCGTATGTTGGAAGGGCTAGTGGCAGCTGTCGGTAGCGGTCGATGCGAGTGCGGTTCGATCCAAGTCCCCTCGAAAGCGAAGCCCGGGCCTCCGCACTTCTCCGAGGGCTGGGCGACGACTGAACTCCTCCGTCCGTACGCGTGTCCGTCGGTCGTGTCAGTACTTCTCAGGTCGGTCCACGGTGCAGTCCGCGCTTACCCATCGTGTTTCGGCCGGGCGCACGTCTCGCCACGGCTGCACGACGATTCGTCGACTCGCCGTTGGGTTACACGCTCGCGAGTGGTCGACCGTGCTCTCGCGCTACTCAGTGGCTGCCCAGTGTCTCGTGCATTCTGCTCGCCGTGCACGCGTGTAAGACGCGCGGGGCCGTGAGGAATCGCGTCTCGTAGGGTACGGGAGTGCCCTTAATACCGCTTCCGGCACGTGGAACGTACCAGCGCTTCTGTTTTTGTTCCCTTTGGCGCATCGCTGGCTGGCCGGGGCCGATCGCCGTCGCTCCTTGCTTCTCTCGTGGGAGGTCAGCACCTAGCCGGGTGGGTAAGTGTGGAGTCTACGGTCGCTCCGGTGCGGCAAACTGCACCTTTCCCGAGCGTACCCTACGCGACGAACGAGCGTAACGCGAAGGACCGTATCCCGCGGATCGGACAATCAACTACACACTTTCCCGCTACGCGCCATACGAACGATGCCCCGACACTTGTTACTCGTTTTTTTCTCGTGGCGCGTATGCGTGCTAAGAGAAAAAGAAAACCAACACGGAGACGGTTTCCTTCGGCTCGTCCTCCAGCCGGATTTCGGCTGCGCGTTTCGACCGACCTTTCCAGACTCGTCGGTTTATTATTACTATCGTTTGTAAATGAAATTTTTCTTAATCTTTTTCATAAACTATGATCGACTCGACATTTTCTTTGGCTCTCTGTGATAATATGTACCACGTACGACGCGCGTGCATCGAGAGATACAAAAAAACGACCGCGCGGTGGAGGAAAGGGACGGCTGATTGTTTCGATCGAGCGGCTATCGGTGGTTATTGTCCCTCGAATTCGTCGGTATTATTTTTTATCGTGAGAACGCCGGTCACGTTACGGTCGCGTATCTTCGGAACGTGAGAACGTGGAATGTCGCGGCACGTGAAGATAAGACAAGAGTCAACCGTTCACCGGCGAGGGTGGATCCCCCTTGGCACTTCTCTTGTTTACGAACCGCGTGCACGGGGAACGTCGTCGGCGGCCACGTGCTCGTTGCGTCGTGAGATTCCTCGAATTCAAACCCGTGACGATCGAATTTCGTCAACCTGTCCTTAAAGTGAACAGTATCGCGACGGACACGTAGCCCCGATGTCGGACAGCGATCGCAAACACTCGAGATCTTGTTTCATAATTTTATTAACACAGCTTCTTGCCTCACAATTTCATTTTAGATTTATTAAGACGATTAGAAATCGTTAAATTCCTTGTTAGGGTCTTCGAAATAAAATCGAACAAAAGTATTAGAATTAACATATTTCGAGAGCCTTCTTTAAGAAGAATTCTTATATTTAAATAAATAAAACTGCAACTTTTTAATCGTACAATTTTCAAGTAACTTTGATTTAAGCGTTTATGGGTTATCTAAACCGAATTACACAGTTTTAGAAATTTTATTCATCTGTTTATTCGTTCCGTAATTCAAAATATACTGATTTTGATTAAACCACCGTTATTTTGCTCCGTGTATATGGAGGATATCACAGCTTCTCTCAACGGGGGTAAGTACTAAACAATTGTAATCTGTTCGCTATCGCGTCACTGGAAAATTGCTGAATGAATCGCGATATAGGTTAAAATGTATCATCTATACATACAATCAAAATTCTTGTACGTAAAATGTACATCTAGCTTATACATACTTGCTTTCACAGCAAAAAATTCTTTATTATTTATTTCTTCAGTTTTGTCGATGCGTTGGGAATTTCGTTAAGATTGGGTAAACCACAGGATACTAGACCGCTAGACACTCGAAGAAACGTCTTACAACAGAATATCGAAGACGTTTCATAATCGCGAAAAGAACTGCATTATTCACCAATTGTCTTGCAATCGTCCCAAGTCTCACTCTTCGAACCTACATTACAATGTCTCACTAACAATCTGTTTAGAAGTTTTAATCAACCAGTATTCCATCGAAAGGTTCAAACTGAAAATTGAAAAAGAAAAATAGCATTTACCTGTACGGGAAATAATTATTATTTCATCGAGTTTGTTCATTGAATACCCACATTGACTAAGTATATTTTAAATATAGTTTTACATTACATGTTATTTAACATGTTACTTTTGACGCTTGTTTCCCTTAAAACAGACGCCAACGCTCCAGACCTAATTCACGAATCGGTTTAATTAAATACAGGTGTAATTTTTTTTTGTTAACGGAGGTAGTCGTAAAGAGCCTTTCCTTTGCATTTGGCACGCAATTGTCCGACTGTCGAAGATTCCACCCGCTTCTTGTACGATCCCCGATGCTCCTGATCGTTCGCCGGTTTATCGTTTTCGGTCACGCGAAAATTTTTCAAACGGCCATGCGTGAAACGGCACGCGCGTCGCGAGATTACTCATCGCGCAAAGATAAATCAATAAGCGCGTTCCTCGTCCTGTACCATCGGGCGATTCCGCGCCGTTGGGCTTAATCGGCGGTTGGTTTTCCGCGAACGCAGTCCGCTGTCGTAACGACTCCATTCATCTCGACCTCACGAATACGTAAACATTGAAGATCGATCGTGCGCGCGGTACGTAATTCCCGTGTACTCTGAGGACGCCCAGCACGCTGCTGCTCTCGGTGGCTCGTTCAGTTTAGAAATGGGAAGTGAATGGGAAAGGGCTACGGCCGTAAGTGTTCCGCTGTGTGAAAGACCCGAGCAGATAGTAGTGTCAACCCCATGAATAATCCGAAGACCGCTGGCGCCTTCGTGTTTATTTTCTTCGTCTATGGGTCGCTTCCTGTCTGAACCGAAACTTTCGGTTGTGTGTACCCTTTTGCCTGGCTGTCTGCGACGCTTCCTGATCTCCGACTAATTTCCAATTCTTCGATCGACGAACGGAACCGCAGGTATTTCTGGCTCGGTGACGACCGAAAATATTGTGCCGTACAACGATCCGCTCGATCGTCGTGCGACTATTATAAACAGCGATAATAAGTGTCGGTTGATAAGTAGCCGGTCCGTTTCCGAGAACACGCGATTCCGGTTCATTCATGCCGGGACTACGTTCCTCTATTCTCGAATCGATCACTACGATCAACACACCGTTCACTGTCTATGACCCGTATATGGGTCATATCGCTATGCTATTGGATACGCCGCTGAGAGACCGGACAGTGAACGCGTTAACAAAGAAGCTTGATCGATGCTATTAGCATTCTAAATAAGTAACTACAAGCAACGAACACTGGAATTAATATTTATAATAGTTTAACAAAACAGTAGTACAAAATATGAATACTATTTTCGTGTACTGTGTAATTTTGTAAAATAACAAACACTCCCATCGAACCATTCAATATTTCTATTCGTTGTACTAGAATTTTTAAAAATATCGATGATATCCCAGGGAAAACAGTTGTAGTCGTGTTAAAAAATATTTATATTGTATTCGTTGCCTGTGCCAATAATTTTCCGTCCCGCTGCAGTTTGTAAACAGCGCGGCGCGCGTAAACTTCGTCGCGGGCACGAAACCGTAATGTAACGCTGCGAGCGAATCTGACGTGCCGTTTCGAGGTTAGAAAATCATCACGGTCGATTTACCAACAAGACGAATCTTGGGGCCACGTAGCCACCACGCGCTCGACTTCGTTCCGCTTCCAGAGATAATAGAAAGTTTGATTTACGCCTCCCCGGTATTTACTTTTCTAACGTTCTTTGCACTTCCTACGACCCCGCCGCGTTCTCCTTATCTTCCATCGTGTCGAACCTGTTGCTTTTCTACGTTATCGTTCCCCATGCTCAGCTACAGTGTTCCTTTTTCTTTTTTTTACCCTTAATTCTCGGAAAACTTCGTCGTGAACGTGTTCCCTTCTCCTCCTCCTCCTCCTCCTTCTCCCCCCGTCGCCCCTGCGTTACGAAGTTCAAGGCTGATGTTTCTGGGTTTCTCTGTAGCCGCGACCATTTCTTTTCCCGGAATGCATTTCCTTTCCACGGGGTCGTGAAAGCACATTTATTCCGTTAAAATGGTACTTTAGAAACATGCGACCCTTCCGAGAAAGCGGTCCCGAGATAACGTTGCATGGGAACGCGCTACAAAGTTGCTGTGTACTTTTTAGGTTAGGACCGCCGACGACGTTCACGGGAACGCGTGATTTTCGCCTCGTACGTTACATCGCGATCGTTCCAAATGATGTAACGTGTTCGTTACTTCGTTCCCTTCATTTTTTTCTTTCTTTTTTTCAACCGTGACTTATCGCAAAAGGAAGTTGATAAAAGAATTTAATCGAAGAGCCGAGCGAAGCTTTCTACAAGATGACGTTTCATTGGGTATTTATAGTTGGCGGTGACAATTTCGAGAAGCGCCGCGCGAACGAAAAAAGAACGTTGCGCCTATCGTTACATAAATTACGCTTCATTCAAGAACGATTACGTACGATAAAAAACTTCCGGCAGAAAAACGTACCGCGATAGAAGACACTGGCCGGGGGCGATAAATTTTCTAAATCTCTCGGGCGATAACATCGCGTACTTTATTACTCCCCTTGGCCCACGTAAACATTACGAAATCCGTGGGTACTTCGGCTTTCCACGGCTCTCGAGTGCCCGTGTTCGAATTTTCGTCGCTCCGTATCGCGTGCTACAACGAAAAGTAGGTCTTCGTATCTGCCTCCACGCAACCCGGCATTATCTTCAACTCCTTCATTCATCTTTGTTGTTGGCAGCGTCACGTTTGGCCGCTGGTACTTATATATGCACACAACGAACGTAATTGTTTTCTCTTCGCGCTTAGAACACTGACGCCGTTAGCTCTGTAACGCTGGCTGTAACGTGCCTTTTAATACGTAAAATAATTGATGCCGTTTCGGTGCTCGATGCGTACCATTTTTACAAATATTTTCGATGAATTCAAATATTCGAACAAAAACGATATTTTGTACGCGTCGATTTAATATTATTTTTAAGTCGTTTTGTAATGTGCAATAAAATTTGAATGGGAAATTTTTTCTAACGAAAGGTTTAATTCGAGTGAAACGCGTAAAATAATTGGTGCCGTTTCTATGGTCGAAGTGTACAATCTTTACAAATATTTTCGACCAATTCAAATATTCAAAAAAAACGACGCGCCGATTTAATATTATTTTTAAGTCGTTTTGTAATGTGCAATAAAATTCGTACGGGGAATTTTTTTTAACGAAAGGTTTAATTCGAGGATAATTCGGGTGAGACGGGTGCACGTGGTGCAGCGTACGAGCTCGAGTTTCTTGAAAAGTGGGGAATTTCCGGCGCACGGCCAGGTAACACAGTTTTTGACCAGGCGGGCGTCGGTCGCTATAGTGTCGAGGAAAACAAAGGGAAAGGGCCCCTTTAAGGCCTGTACAAGGGAGCGTTCTTACATTTACAAGATGTTCTGAAAAGCCGACGATGAAGCGGGGCTATTATACGAACGCAGGTGTCGGTGCAGATGTCGCGTAGCAGACGGCGCAGCACGATAGCGCGGGTAAATTTTAATGAAATTCCAAAGAGTCACCGATATTTGCGTTTGGGTTACCGCAAGTATATCGATATACAGGGTGTCTTGCTCAGACTGGGCCGCCTGATTATTATCTTTTCATAGTACAGTACGCCAACACGTTTCCTAAATTATTTTAATGCTTTTAACCTATAAATTTTTTTTTATTTTTATTTGTAATTTGTATTTCTTTTTTTGGTATTGATTAGTTACGTTACAGTATTTAAACGTGAATAAAATATTTTTTTATTTGTTTCTTTCAAAGTCAGTAAGTTTTTCATGCAAGGTGTGATACTATAACTATAAAATGGTCTAGAATTCTAAAAAAGTATCTAACATTTTATCGAGCTTCTCCAAGTCTGGGTGACAGCGGTAGATAGTTCGTGAATGTAAACAAATGTATCTATTATCGCTCCACAGATAACTAGAATGTCCTACCCGTTATCATTTTACAGTCATATTATTATAATGCCCGAATTCCTATTAAAGTCGCTTACCACATGCAAGAAATACCTATTCGTAACAGAATCATCGGATGATCTTGGAAATTTCGAAAAAAAGTACATCAGATATTAGAAAGCGTACTTTTCAAACAAACGTGTTTAAAGATTATTTATAAGAAAGGAACAGTTTAGACACAGGACATTGCATATACCTTCAAGAAAACGTAAAAAAAAGGGAATCATTATTTTAAACGATTCTCAATAGAATACATATTCTTAATGTATCTAAAAATGAAATATTCTAAGTGAGCCTCTGTTTTAACTCTTTGGGGCACGCTGGGATTAAAAGTGTCCCACCTCGAAATATTGCAATAGCTGCATTATTTATTATATTTAAGCAGTCTTATTTACGTAAAACAGTTGGTAATATCTTCAACATGCCAATAGAGGTTCATCAATTGTTGCAAACGGAAGGTTTATCGCGACAAATTCAATCAAACTATTACTATTTTTTTTATTATGTGATACCTTTATTAATAAAAATATACCAATTTTGTTTAATTTAAAACGCAATAAAGTTTCTATGCAACATGGGTCCATTTTATTATCTGAAATTACTGTCGGCACACGTTATCACCTAGGTCCTAGTAAACCGTTAGAAGCTAATATTCACGTATTAATAATTGCTCGAGTCGAATAGGAATCGATAGGACGTGTCGTTTTTCTCGATACGATCGAACTTGACGAAAGAGAACGGATGATGGCGGGAATGGTAGTGACGCTGGTTTCTTCGTTTCAGGTAGAAGTCGAAATGTTGTGATGGCTGGAACGTCCCGACGTCCGAGCTCAGAGCTCGGACACGATTTGTCGTCCCCGACGCCGCCAAAGAAATCGAAATTCGCCGAGGCGTCGAGCGAGGAGTCGCCGGAGAAGGAGCGCGAGCTGAGCACCGAGGAATTGAAGAGCGTGGAGAAGTTGGCGAGCTCGGTGGCGGCTTCGTTGTCGGGAAAGGCGAAGGAGCTGGTTAGCCCGTTCGAGATCAGCGAGGAATCGTTGGACAACACGAAACAACTGATCCAAACTAGTTTGGAAGGGCCGGCAAAGGTCACGGCTGGCTCGTCGAAGGAAGGACACTTCGGCAGCTTCGAAACGATCGCTCAGATGAAGTATAGCTGCCAGCAGGAGCATTCCGGGGGCCCGAGCAAGAGGCCGGAGACGGACAGCGACATGCAAATCCAAACGTCGCTGTTGGGCGAGGACGCGCTCTACCAGGATCTGTCGCTGATCGGGAACGGTGCCTACGGTACCGTTTACAAGGCCAAGGATTTGAACACGGGACAGGTTGTCGCCCTTAAGAAAGTCAGAGTGCCTCTGACCGAGGACGGGCTGCCTACATCCACGTTGAGAGAAATCGCCACCTTGAAACAGCTCGAGAGATTCGAGCACCCGCATATCGTGAGTCACGTCAATCAATTAAATAAATATTATATATTACGTGTGAAATGTCCGATTTTGTAATACGAATTTACCAAATTTATTTGTAAATGTTGATATGTTCTCCCTTGTCTTCTTTTATATCATGGGAGTATTATCACGTGTGCTCTTATTTTAAATCCTGAGATTCATATCCTAAGAAATATCTTAAATTCTTACTTTTTGTAAAACCATTTTTCAATCGAGAGCCAGTGAAAAATGATTTTTAAACATTTTTGTCAAAAATTGTAAATTCCAGAAATTCAAATTATTATGTAAATGGGATCAAGAAATTTAAGACACGTTGGGAAAAGCGTATAGAATGTAATAGTAATTACTTTGATTAATAAAGTTTAGTATTAAGAAACATATACTCTCTTAAGGTTTGTTTTAAAAATCGGTCGTTTCATATCTAATAACCTAACATATGCAGGATGTCCAAAGAGGTTAGGGTCAAACTTATATTACGTGTAACTTGTGCCCGAGAATGCTTCATTGAAAAGATATTTATGATTTATTGTGGCAGTTATAAGATATGTTCAGTCAGGAATATATCCGAAATGTATGTACTATTTATGACAGGATATTTGAAAGAGTTCGACGAACGGAAGCCTGGAGAAATTTGAGAACGTTTCTTGTAACTGTCGCAATAAATCATAAATATCTATAAATGCTTATAACTTTTTTCATCTGTTTGACCTTAGTAACACGTAATATAAATTTGATCCTAACCTCTCTGGACACCCTGTATATATTAATAAATACAGTCGACAGAATGATAAATAATGTCTTCGTATTTATTTGTTCCGTTTGTACGCGCAGGTAAGATTGCTGGACGTCTGTCAAGGGAATTACCTGCACTTGCCCTCCGCCGATGGAAGGACGGAGAGGTTAGATCGGGGACTCACATTGTGGCTGGTGTTCGAGCACGTGGAAAGGGACCTCGCGTCGTACATGTCCTCGTGCCCGCGGCCGGGCATCCCGTCGCAACTAGTAAAACGGATGTCGAAGGAGATACTGAGGGGTGTCGAGTTTTTACACAGTCACAGGATCATACACAGGGACTTGAAGCCTCAGAATTTACTAGTGTCGAGGGAAGGGAGAATAAAGATCGCGGACTTCGGCCTGGCGAAGACGTACGATTTCGAAATGAGACTGACTTCCGTGGTAAGTTTTACGTATTTCTTCGTATTTCCACGACATTTCGTTCAAGTATCTGTTAAAATGATAAAATATTGACATCGATTGTACACGCAGGTCGTGACGCAATGGTATCGCGCCCCTGAAGTGCTTTTAGGCTGCTCTTACGCGACACCTGTCGACATTTGGTCCGTAGGATGTATATTGGCAGAACTGAGTCGACTGGAGCCTCTGTTCCCGGGCACGAGCGAAGGCGACCAGCTCGATAGGATTTTTCAGTAAGTCGATCGGGACGTTCGTTTTATTTGATAAAAAGGGAGTATTGTTTTCATTTACGTATATCGTTTTTCTTTCGATCGTTTGGCAGAGTGATAGGAACCCCATCGCAAGAGGAATGGCCCGAGAACGTGTCCCTCAGTTGGACAGCTTTCCCTTGTAGACAACCAAAACCTCTAGCGGCAATAATACCTGATCTCAGCGAAGACGGACTAGATTTAATTAAAAATCTGCTTATGTTCGATCCTCATAGTCGATTGACCGCGGCTCGGGCCCTCAGACACCGATACTTTACCGAAGACGACTCGTGATGACGACTAATTTTCTTTTCGTGAGTATTCCGTAGGTGTTTATTTGTTTCTTAAACACAGACTGACGTTGCGGTTTCCAAAAATACGTAAGCACATTTACGTATACGAACGTTACAGTACTTTTCTATTTTCTTTTTTTGTCTATCTTTTTCTACTATGTAAGATAGTATAGTGTCCCGCGAGTATAGTACGACACGGATTTTTGTAAGTAGGTAGGGCTTATGAATATTCTATTCTTATTTAGAAATTACAATCGTAAAGCACGTTTGTTATAGCGTATGAAACTATCATCATATTTAATTCACACGGCCATCACATTACTTCAAGTATCATCGTAATTTAATTATATATAGTTGTTATCTCACGGCAAATAATAACTTTTTTTTTTATCGTTATTGTATTTAGTGGTAGCACTATTAATATGGTATTTATTTAGGTAACGTTATTTTTTCATTTTTTTCATTTTCATTACCATTTACGTTATGGTACCTTTGAACAATGCAAGGCACAATATTCGTGAACCTAACCTAAAATTATGTTATCCGACGATAAAATAGGCGTGCCTTCCAAAGTCGTAAAAATGTTCGTAACCCATGCCTTAATATTCTATGTAGTTAAATTTAGTGATAAGCGTACTAATAAGTAGTGTTATTCTTGTAAGACTGGGGCCTTTCTTGACCCGTTAGATTCGTCGGAAAGACATAAGATATTCTGCGTAAGAAACCAGAAAGTACACTGCCATATGTATGTAAAGCAAATTATTAATAGCGTTTAATAACGTAATTGTATGTTCAGTATGTGTATAAATCTAAACTTTGCGAGCAATATTTATATACACCTAACACACAGTTTGTAAGGAAGTGTGGAAAACCTTTAAAAAGACTGTACAACAAAATAAAGATTTTATAGTTTTATATATCGAAACTGTTCTCGAACTGAACGTAATATTGAATAATACCCAGCCTAACCGAAGTATCTTGCACACAATTTGAATAGCCCGCCATTTTATATTTTCGACGTGGCGTCTTGTACATTGGACTCCTCTAATCGTACAACTTAATCAGGAACAAGTTAACTGTACTGTCATCGATATTGTTATGGATTTGTGAAGTTCGATGGTTTTGTGAATACTCGAAATGAAATTCCCGTTGAATTTCGCGATAACCTTGTCCAAACGGTTACCGTACTTGCACACCAGTCTAATAAGTCACACTCCATGCTGGAGAAAAATGGCGACCGAGGTAGAAAAGGCACAAACTGCAACTGCTGGAGGCGACACTATTTTTGGCAAGATACTTCGCAAAGAAATACCTTGCAATTTCATTTACGAGGATGATCAGGTAAATTTAAGTTGATAGTACAAACTGTAATATATTTCTGACAACAGAAACATTTCATTGTTGTGGTATCAATCGGTGAGGTTATTTGCCGGTTTGTCACATTCCGATTAATGTTACTCGTTGCAATTTGATATGCCTGGGCTATAGTTTAACTTGCCTAAGGATATATCGTTTCATATTACAGTTTTCATATTTAAATTCACATTAAACGTAATATCGGAATATTTCTAACCAAATTTTATAAACACGTAGATCCTCGAAGTATTTCTCTACATAATTTATCGTATCGTTGCGAATTATCGAATAATTGAATAATGTCTATCCCAACGATTGCAATTGTAACATGCTGATTAAAAACAATTTTGATGTATCAGTGCGTTGCGTTTCAAGACATCAACGGTCAAGCACCGGTACATTTTCTGGTGATTCCACGAAAACCAATCCAGCAGCTCTCGAAAGCTCAGGACGAGGACGAAGCTTTATTGGGGCATTTAATGATAGTTGCTCGTAAAGTGGCAAAGCTACAAGGTCTCGATGACGGTTTTCGTTTAGTCATTAACGACGGGAAAGACGGTGCACAATCCGTTTATCACTTGCATCTTCATGTACTCGGTGGTCGTCAAATGAAGTGGCCCCCTGGTTAATGAAATTCGCCGCGTTCGATAAAATTTTGTACGAATTGTAATTTGTGTTTATATAATGTACATTCTGTCACTAATAAAGCCTTGAAGGAAATACCATAGGTTGAAATGTTTATAAAAACGCATTTATTTGAAGGCAAGATAAATTTGTATATCGTACAAAAATAGGTATCATATTGTAACATTAAGTGTACTTTTTATATTATTTATATTATTTATTGTTTTTCGTATACTTCGTATACGAACTGTATACCGTTTTCCTCTTGAACGCCCGAAGGAATGTTTTCATCTCTGAAAATAATCCAGATTAAAATATAGAATCAAAAATATATGTTAATGATCATCAAGATCAATGGAACTTACTGTTTCAAAACGAAATTATTTGGAATCTGCGGGAAAAAAGTGTCGCAAACAAAATGTTTTTTTACTCTCGTCAAATACAACCGGTGAAAATTAGGGGACTCCATAGCAGCCTATAACCCAATCAGGTAGAGATCATTTCACAGGTTGTATTTTTGATAATTTTGAAAATTGTTAACTGCACAAATTTTTTGAAACGTAACTTTCTAAAATAAATTACAACTATGAAACCTAATAATAAAAAAAGAATGTGCCAGATAAAAATTATTTCACCTTGGAACAAATTTTCGTGAATTGTTTCTTTTACTATTAAATAATCGAAAATGAAAGTGTATTGATCGTGCGTCGAGTGCAACAAAAATGTATGTTTGCTTTCACGAAAACAGTAAATGTATACCTTGTACACGGAACTCCCTCCTATCACCCATATATTTTCAACCTGATCTTTCAACGGAGGTTGCGAAATAATTTCGAGAGCGTGCGGAATGCTTTTGCATACGAGTGCTTGGCCTCCGTAATTCCTACATATTTCAATACAATATAAAGTTTTATTTCATAATGTATCTTGCTTACGTAAAAAAATAATCAGTATTACAAAGACTGTGACGTTAGAACCATGTTTATTCGATTCTTCAACGGTCTAAATTTGTTTGGAATACATTCCCACGTCCTTCGTCCCATCAGAACAACGTTCTTTTTATTTTTGTTTTTTGTTTCCGTAGTCATGGCTGTAAAAAATGCCATTTCAGTTCTGTGTCCACATGAAAGAAACAGATTAGAATGTGCATCATCATTCGAAATTAATTCGCAATTCAAGGTTACATCTTACTTAAGTTTCCACGGTAAGGCCCCATTTATACCGATTCCCATGCCCTCGCACGCAGCCGCGATTAAATTTAAATGTAAATACATTCTTCTACAATAATTATTCAAAATTCGAGGCACAACAAATGATTAACACTACACAGAAGCGCACAGACGCACCTCACTGGCTGTTATTATGAATTTTGGTACTCACGTGTTGACTAGTTACATTTAAGTGATATAGATAGCAGCACAATCCCGACAGTTTGTTTCAGTTTATGGCAGCGATCGGTTTGATCGTTCACGTGCAGTTAGCGGTTATGTTTACAGGTTCTAATTTAAAATTGTTTGACTTTTAAGCATTTACGCTTATTTATATTATGTACAGCTGATAGTCTTGAAGATGTGAGCAGTTGTAAGTGTGGTAAAATAAAGACTAAACAATGAACAATAACGTACGTTATGCAGTAAGAAATAGCATACAATTTCTACTTTTCTTTGTGCATGTACATAGTTTTACATCGCGTTAAGCATAATATACATTAAGTAGAGATTATAATCGTCGGGCTATTTAAGAAACTTAATCGAAAGCTTATTTTTATAATAAAAAAGCAAAATGCTCTAAGATATGGGTACAGACGAGGTATACAAGTAGATCTTTCGCCATAGACGAAGTATACAAGTAGACCTTCCACCTTATGGACTTTCGTGGCCCAACTTGACTGCTATACCGACGGTCGATACCCGACCTGAAAATTCGGAGTTGATTTTAGCGTCCTCTTCTCATGAATGGCGGTCATTTGAGAAACTATTCACTGAATTAGGATTGATGTGCAGCCAGCTGCCTGTGTACATAAATACATGTGAGTTGACTATGGAAGGGATTAAAAATCGCAATTTTCAAACTACCATAACTCCTATAATAGCGAATGTATTTCATTGAACTTTATTTCTGAGACAGAGCTCATGGATACTTACAAAAAAGTATTAAACAACATTTCTGTAGAGCGTCAACCAAATTTATTAAAAATCAAAAATGAATTTTTAAGAAAAATCGAGAAGTCGGCGAAAAAAAAATTTCAAATCGTTCTAGAAAAATTATTTTCTGTTGCGGGGGTTAATAACAATCACTTTTGGTCAATAGACACACCTCCGAAATCCTACGCGTTTTCGAGAAAAAAATTCCCTACCGAAAATATAATGTGTGGCCAGAAATGTTTCTACTATGAGTTTTTTTTTTTTGTAAACACGTGTTTATAATTTATTATCAATTGTGTACTTCATACAGTGACCTGCACAATTAGTGACACGCTCGCGTCGCACACATGCATGCACGCTCGCACACACACTTCCAACAACAAAAAATATACGTACGTCCACATAGCGTATACGTACACGCATACAGAGAAATCACGGTACGTGTACCACGTACGCGTATATCGCACGCATCGCGTATGTAACATACACACACATTTATTTCCATACATATACATACGCATATATATGTATATAATACGTCGTTATCTCTCGTATATAATATAAGTATATAATATAACTATCGTCGGGTGGGAGGAATTTTAATTTTTTTTGTTTTCATTTCAAAATATATATATTTATATATATACCTTTCGTAGTTATCTATAGGACAAAAAACGGTGGCAACGATCGTACTCCATACTTAATCTTATTACTCTCTTATATTCGCGTAGTTCATTGTTACCTGTGCGTCATTTAATGATTTGTTTTGTTTCTCTCATCGTATCGTTACATGTTAACGGTATACAGCTATACTGACACGTGCGGTAGTTTTGTGTGTGGCAACGAGTAGTAAATACTAGAGGGAAACGATGGCGAAAGTCAGAAGGTTCCATATTTTCGATTCTCTTTCGTTTTTCGTTTGGACAACGATCTCATACGATCAACGATATCAGTGTCGACCCTTCGATATATCATCGAAAAGAAATTCCAACGTTTTGCATGGTATAGTCCAAGTCTGACTTCTGGCTCTCACAACCACAGCACTCGCTACATATATCGTATCTCCTCGTACTCGGGTATATCACAATGATTCAACGTATTGACTATTTTACAGATAAACCATCTCGTCGTCGTCTCATTTTCTTTGTAATTTTTTTCTAAAAGCGTGCACGCTAACGTCACGAATTTTTGCGATTTCGCCGATGGTCCCTTCAACGTCGACCGTTGGCTTCTCGATCGTTCCCTTCGTTCCACGTTGAAGAACATCGGGCCTGATCATGCATGTGCATCGTGGTCGTATCTAATTTTCGTGTCTCGCGTATATATAACCGCAGGTGAGCTTCCGTTTCCCTCTGTTCTTGTCACGATCCTCTCTCATGGACGGCGATAAAAAACGTGTAGCGCTTTTGTTACAGATTATTAAAACATGCGAGGAACGCTAAATATCCTGAGTCTCTAAAACATCGCGCGATACGTACGCGCGACGTACACAGTTAACCTCTTTCTTTTTCTCTTCTGCAATAATCGCTGCTTTAACCTCTGTTCAAACTAGATTGTGACTCTTAATGCGGAAACTGTTACGCGTTCCAATGTGATCCGTTTACAAGAAAAACTTCCCGCGAAAAGAAACAATGGAACTTTATGCGTAAATATCGGAATATCGATTTCACGATGAACGCTGGTATATTAATATCAATAAACGGATCTACGCAACGCTCGTCGACGATACAATTATCGTTACATAGAAATTTTCAATCGATCGGTAAAAACCGATGGTCCACGTTATATTCGCGATGCAACATCTACCATTGAATGCACGGGCATTAAACGAAGCGGCGTTTTTAATAAGTACGTTATATACAATAACCGTGAATGGCCGTATAAAGTTATACAAAATCTGCTGAAGATTGATAGTCCAAACTCGTCGGAATAACTGAAAAAAGCCTTAGTGAACGTGGGTTTAGAAATTTACAATTCAGAAGAATTTCATTTCATGGTTAGGTTTAAAAACTTTATGTTCGAACATAGTCTTATTGTTCAATTTTGTTCATTAGTATGTTTCTATATAATTGATCTGTTCTTGAAGAAGTTAAACAAATAAATTTCTCTGGGGAGACTGACATAGCAATCACTACCAAATAACACATAACAACTGTCTTGTATCACACATTTCTGCTTATTTTGAACAGTTGATTTTTAAACCCATGTTGACCAACATTTTTTCATTCATTTTTTATGAGTAATGTACGTACTCAACGTTTGCACTATCAATATTAGCACGCCCTGTATGTATACATGTAGTACTTATTAAACGATAACAGTACGATCAACATAATTCACAACACATACATTCAAGAAGCAGCGATTTGTTTAAACGCGCGAGGGAAACACCTAAACAGTTTTGGGCGAACAATATGTCCGTGGTAACACAGCAACGCTTGGATAACTTCGAATCTACTACTGAGAAGGGGACTTCAAAGCTCAACGTCGAGCAGATCGGTGTAACCTGATCTGGGCTCGAATATCGGTGAGACGATTCAGACATAATACATAATGCCAAGATGAAACTTTTACCGATGTATTTGTGAGAGTTTTCCGATTAAAATAAGACCAAACACAATATAATTTGCTTTTAACCTATCTCTAATTGAATACAAGATCGTGTTCGCGAGTGCCAAAAAATTGAGTTATTGTCACTCATTAAATACGCAAATATGATCCAAGTTATGTCGCGTTTGGTCTTATTTTAATCAGAAAAACCTTACAAATATATTGATAAAAATTCCATTAACAAAGCATACAAAATAAATAAGTTCATATTGTGTTAGTCTTATAATCCTTCGTACTCTGTCTTTGTCTATGTTCGGCAAAGTACAAAGCCGAACGCCGTAGCTCGACTCGTGCCTTTCTGGGAACTGAAATTTAACCATGCTTTTATAACGACCAGACTTCTCGACTCATGTTCCTCGCAGTTATCCAGGATTCGCTGCGCATATGGAAATCAAACCAGCCGTCCACAAATTCGACATATTTTACGGACACGCGAAATTAATATACTCGCGCTGTACAACTTGTTAATTTTACGTATGCACGTGTTACAACGATAAAATTCACGAGCACGGACCGTACTACGAACCCGAACGGAACCATAACTTCGCGACGTCGTGTGAATGTTTCGGAAAAATTTGTACAATCGTTATTCGTTAATGGCGCGGTGCAATTTTAAACTATGCATTGAGCTTTCGTCAAATCTGCGGGAATACGTCGGTCAAAGCGACGCTCTTAATTTTACGAATCACTCGTCGGCAAACGAAACTATCAACAGAGCAAAATGCATTGTTTTTTCTTTCTTTTTCTTTTTTTTTCTTTTATCTTGTTCCTAACTTCGTAATATTTCGCATGCCTACGTCGATCGATAACGGTGAACGCTGTTCGACGGTCGATTTATTCAATATAAAACAAAACGATAACGTTCATTCGCTATTAAAGAAAATTTAAGCAAAATTCCTACGTATGGCAAACTATCCGGATCCCTTCGCTAATCTTTACCGTTGATAATACAGATTATATTTTTATCTCAAGGCAAATATGTTTCACTGTTAGAATTAATCGGTCGCGCCAAGACGTTTTATGCACGTTTACGTATCGTAACGTTTTAAATTACTATTCAGTTTCTCACCGTGTCCTACACGTAGGAAAAGCACTTTGTGCGTACACTAATACGTGATAATCGTGATCGAACTCCGATGAGTAAAGTAAAGCTCGAACTTTCGGCACAAAGGCGAGAAATTAAAACGCTGCTCGCTACGGACAAAATTTGTAAACAACGATCTTGGGGCGATTTGTAAACTGCCTCCCGTCTCGCATTAACGTGCATCCTCCGCACACTATAAATAACTCGAACTAATTATTTAAGCACGCGGTAACGAGTTGAACGTTCGTGCTGTTTCGTTTTACCAATAAATGTCACGTGTCGCTCGAGTTATTTACACGAACACTCGCGCAGAGTGTCCTTAAATGTATATATGTAATCTGCCCCCCAAGAAAGGGGGGGCTTACGAGCAAAAACAATGTTTATAGAATAACGTGTTTAAAGTTTAAAATATATCTTTCGTTCAATTTTTTTTTTTTAGAAAAAAATAAAAAGTATTTTCCGAATAACTTTTACAAAATCTAACCTTTAAGTGCAAACGATTTCATTTAAAGATTTAAGGTTTAGAATTATACATAAATGAAACCGGAAGTTGATTTTTGACTCGTGAGCCCCCTTTCTTAGGGGCAGATCAAATATTTTGTTCCTTTCGTTTTTTTTTCTTTTTTTCGTTTTTACGTTTAAATACTAATGTAGGCCATGGCATCATTTTCTTAATACATATAAAAAGGTCTGACATAATCGAAGTTCGCGAATTGTACTCAATAGGATTAAAACGTTTTAAATCTAAGATAATTTATGAGAACAAAACGACTCGATGCTAGTAAAATTTTTCCTGTATTACGAAAGCAATATTCTGCTGATTGCACAATGTCTAAATAAAACGGAGCTATCTAATAATGCACTAGTCTGGCGGCGCTGGCTATCTAAAATCAATATTTTACGCAGTTGCTTCTTTGAAAATTTAAATACGATAGATGTTTTACATCAGACCTCTGTGTGCACGAAAGCCAATAATCTAATAGCAGAGGCAATACTGCCTCACATTGAATACTTTATTCCTGATTCAGAATATTAATTACTCATTAGGCTCCGAACGCCTAATGCACAATCGCTAATAAAACCTAAACTGGTTAACTTAAAAAATTGTAAACGTCATTTAAGAAATAAACTTGATGAAAACTGTGCGATAAATTATACACGCGTAATAAAAAATCTTCACGTGAAATTGTTCGAAAAAAAATTGTAGTACGAAGACAAATACTTGAAACGACGTGACGTCGTAAAATATATCACAACAGGAAAACAATGTTCGGAAGAAAAGTCACTTAATTTAATGGAACACAAATAAATACGCTTAAAGCTATGATTTTCGACAGCTGTTTAAAAAATGAGCTGAGTCGATATACGAAACCATTATAGTCATTTCATGACAAGATCTTACGTGAAGAAGTAAAAAGATTTTCTATAGAATTATGTATGCATTGTGCAATAAAAAACGCTCAATTCCATAGTGTTTCGTCGATGGTAGAAAATTGATGTGTACGCGCGTACAGAGATGCGGTTTCATATTATCAAGATGATGAACAGTCAATATCTCCAACGAATTTTTCCATTTTTTTTTTTTTTTTTTTCAAGTCTTAAACCGATACTGAATTGGTTTTCTTTTAAAAAATCTAGTCGCCCCTTGAAGACAGGTGGCATTGTTTTCCTTTCGATCAATGCATGACTTATCATTACTATTTTGTACACTTATTATACAGGGGTGGAATATCAATCGTTTGATGCTCATTAGTACTACGAAATCATATGTGTATAGAAAAAAAATGAAAAATGTACGAGTCATAGTAATCTATATGTATATGATGGAGAACAGAAGACCCATTCTGTTTCTTTCTGGCAGGTGTGTTTCATTTTGCAAAAAAAATGACTCCTCGGAAAGGCGATGCGTGATCGTAACGCAAACCCCAATACTTGCTTGATATTTTCGACATTTATAAAAGATTACATTTCCCTGAACGTCTCCGTTTCCTCCGGTTTTTCTCCAATTCGGTCGGAGGTTGATTTCTGATAATACGAACGACCTAGGACAAAATTATTCAAGCCTCTTAACTGCCCGGATCCACTTGCTAACTAAGCAATAATGTCTGTCTTATCCTTTTACTCTCTATATCGCGTACCTCATGAAATGCTGCATCTACATTTAACGGTGGATCTTTGGCAGAAGTTTCAATGTAAGGTATACACAAACGAAGTGCCAGTTCCCTTCCCTGTTCCTCTGTAACCTTTCTCAAATGTACCAAGTCAACTTTATTGGCTACTAGAAGCATGGGGTATACGTCCCTATCCTTCACCCTAAGTATTTGGGTATAAAAATTCATGATATTCTCATACGACTGTTTGTCGGTCACGGAATACACTAATAGAAACCCATCACCCTTGCGCATGTATTGTTCACGCATGGCACTGAATTCTTCTTGACCAGCTGTGTCTAACACTGTTAGATACAAATAAACCTTTGTACACTCAAGGATACTTGTGTGTTTATTATAATGCACCAAGCAAAGGCACCGTATAGCATGATTTTGTACCACAGACTCAAAAATTGAACGCAACAAAGCCGTTTAAACATTTATAATATGGTTTTACTTACCATCTAGAATGCACCATTGTTTGTCTACCTCTGTATGTTGAATGTAACTATCCTCGATGGTAGGATCGTAGTCAGTGACAAATAACTTTTGAAAGAACTGTATGGTGAGTGCACTTTTTCCAACACCTCCATCACCGACTACGACCAACTTGAAGGTCATAAGGTTATCATTATTAGGAGGTCGGGTCATACCGCCTTTTGTTTTCCCACCCCCTCCCCCACTGCTCTGCCTTCTTCTGCCTATTCTGTCAACTCTTCTAATGTGTTCTCAGCAGCGTGTCTGCTCTTGAATTGTCAAACTTCACTATCTAGTCAAGATGTCCTGAAAGGGTTAACTTAATTAAATCAACGAAATTGATAACACATTAATTACGAATATTTTAATGCCTCTGATACAACATCAAAGTTAATAATTTTGTTTACACGCACCAGTGAAACGAAAAGTAACACTTGGCGTTGTAATGTAGCGGGTGTGTCAATTACGCTTAATAGGACAAAATTAGAAGAGGGCTTTTCAATGTATAAATAGGGTCTGGCAGTTTGTCATATTGCCCTTTAACAGTATCAAACTAATACATTCGTCGACAAAACAAAGAACACTCACCTTACATGATCTGCCACTCCTGCTTCGCGTTCTTCCAGCTGTCAGTCTGGGCCACTGTGGGCACATTCGTATCTATGTAGAAAATATGTTTGTGTAAGCTTTTGACATTAGTGTCGCATAGGATAGGTCTTGTATACTTTTACGACCTGCGCACAAACATTAAGAACATGCTGAACGAGAAACAATAAAACCGTGAGAGTCTGATTTCCCACTGGATAAACAGAGATGCACAAATATTGCGTACTCTTTCTATGAAGTGTAAAATCAGACTCTCGCGGCATTATTGCCTCTCTCTCAACATGGCTCGTATTAGAATCGGCTTTTGTTTGGTCATACGCATCAGTGAATTAATTTCAGTCTAGTTCGGTAATTAATATCAAAATAAGAACTATTAGATTTAATATTATCAATAAGTACAGAAATTATTTACATAAGCTTTATATTTTTATAACTAACTGTTATGCAATTTTCTATAGAAGATAGATTTTTTGAATTATAATGATAAATGTATTTCGAAATACAATTGTTGTTCCTTGTTTCAAGGCATAAAAATTAGAGGATTAGAATTTTGAATATGCACAAATGAACATAGAAACGAGAAACGAGTAGTTGCAAATCGAGGACCTCTGTCGGTGCCATGACGAACTATCAGTGGATTCACATATCTAGGAGGCCCCCAAATGGAGCATGTAGTTCCTTCTTCTATAATTTTGTCCGTGGCCGGTTAATTGTTAGTTTTAAGGTTATGTACGCGCATCAACTGCATGTAAACAATCGTAATTGAGGTTATTTCGACAAAACATAAAATACAGAATATGTCGTGTACAAAGTGAAGATAACCTGTACCAAGCAAACAAGCACAATACATATATTTGCAGTTGTGATTTAAGTTAGTAGAAGACTCATTATGGATGCCGATCTGTATGATGAATTTGGCAATTACATCGGGCCCGATTTAGCCTCTGATAGCGAAGATGAAAACGAATACGGAAATGCTGGAGACGATGTCGACGACAGAGAACGCTCCGACGAGGAGATGGAAGAGGACAAAGACGAATCTAGGGAACAATCGGAGCAAGGCAATTCTATGGCTGTTGTCTTGCACGAAGATAAAAGATATTATCCTAGCGCATTAGAAGTTTACGGACCAGAGGTAAGCATGTTAATTTTTATTAGTAATTTTATAATTACAATTTATGTAATTGTGCAATACATTATAGGTTGAAACACTGGTGCAAGAAGAAGATGCCCAACCATTGGACAAACCGTTAATAGCACCAACCAGAAAACCAAAATTCCAAATAAAACAACAACAACTTCCAGATACAACGTATAGCATTGAATTTTTGGCTGACATGATGGATGCACCGCATCTGATACGGAATGTTGTGTTGCTTGGTCACTTACACCATGGCAAGACCACGCTTGTAGATTGTTTAGTAAGACAGACTCATCCCTATTTACACAGCGTGACGGATGAAAAACCACTGAGGTATTATAATATGGTTCATCAAATATATCATCTGCCTACTATTAATGATTTTTAATGAAAATTGGTTTATATTTACAGGTATACGGATACGCTATTCACGGAACAGCAACGAGGCGTATCGACAAAAGCAACGCCGGTCACTCTGTTGTTGCAGGACGTGAAATCGAAATCTTATCTTTTGAACATATTCGATACACCTGGTCACGTAAACTTTTCCGACGAGGCGACAGCAGCGATACGCTTATCCGACGGAGCTATACTGATCGTGGATGCCGCCGAGGGTGTAATGTTAAATACAGAACGCCTATTGAAGCACGCACTACAAGAAAAGCTTGCTTTGACAGTCTGTATAAATAAGATAGATCGACTTATTTTGGAACTGAAATTACCGCCGTTAGACGCGTACTATAAACTGAGACACATCATCGAGGAAATCAACGGACTGATAGCCCTCTATTCGGACAATGAAAATCCATCTTTTGTCTCGCCCGCGATTGGAAACGTTTGTTTCGCAAGTTCGGAGTACAACGTTTGTTTCACCCTGAAATCCTTCGCCGCGCTCTACGCCAAGACTCATCTCACATTAAACGCCAATGAGTTTGCGAAAAGGCTATGGGGCGACATATACTTCAACTCGAAAACACGGAAGTTTACCAAGAAACCGCCACACAACACGGCTCAACGCAGCTTCATCGAGTTTATTCTCGAACCACTATATAAAATATTTGCACAGGTTGTCGGTGACGTTGACACGACTTTACCCGACGGTGAGTAAAATTGTTATAAATTGGTTTATTGGTTGTTAATCTATCCGTGTATAATGACGCGTTGGTAATTAGTCGATGGCTGTTCTCTTCTTTATCTGGCTACAATGTGTTGTTGATTCCATAGTGCTGGACGAATTGGGCATCAGATTAACGTCAGAGGAAATGAAGATGAACATCAGACCTCTGTTGAGGCTTGTCTGTACACGCTTTCTGGGAGACATGTGCGGACTGGTGGATATGTGTGTAGCCCACGTTCCTAGTCCTCAATCTCACGCACCAGTGAAAGTTCAACACGTGTACACGGGTCCAATGGATTCACCCCTTGCGCAGAACATGATCAATTGTGATCCAGATGTTAGTATTTTGCCATGGTTACTGTGTCCAAACTTTAGTCGTATCATTTGATGTCGTTAAACGAACGAACAACATTTTTCAGGGAAGGTTAATGATTCACAGCACAAAAATGTATCCTACCGAAGACTGCACGCTGTTCGTAGTCCTTGGAAGAGTGATGTCCGGTACCCTGGAGGCAGGACAACGCGTCCGCGTGTTGGGCGAGGCGTATTCGCGGACGGACGAGGAAGATTCTCGCATTCTCACCGTTGGTAGATTATGGATCAGCGAGGCTCGCTACTCGATAGAGCTGAACAGAGTTCCAGCCGGCAATTGGGTACTCATCGAGGGCATAGACAGGCCGATCGTGAAAACTAGCACGATCACCGATCTCAACAGTTCGGACGATCTGCACATTTTCCGACCGCTGAAGTTCAACACGCAGAGTGTGATTAAAATCGCGGTCGAGCCCGTCAATCCGTCGGAACTTCCGAAAATGTTGGACGGTCTGAGGAAGGTGAACAAAAGCTACCCGTTGCTGGGCACCAGGGTCGAGGAGAGCGGTGAACACGTGGTACTGGGAACTGGTGAATTGTACTTGGACTGTGCCATGCACGACTTGCGTCGTATGTACTCAGAGATCGACATTAAAGTGGCAGATCCCGTGGTCGCGTTTGCGGAGACAGTGGTGGAAACGAGTTCACTAAAGTGTTTCGCTGAGACGCCAAACAAGCGCAACAAACTGACGATGATCGCAGAGCCTCTTGAAAGGGGCCTTGCCGAGGACATAGAGGCGGAACACGTTCGAATCACATGGAACAAGTAAGTATAATATAGAGCCTTCTATTTGCCCGTGAAATTAAGGTTGTACGTATCTTAACACGCGATATTAACAAACTGACACACATATTTTGCTACTTCTTACTTTACAAGTATTTAATACTCGTTTGATAATAATATTCGCCATTTGTCTTTTGTTTCTAAGGTAGTAAAATTCTGAACAGCATTTTTGTTAATTTTCAATTTCTTTGTAAATTTTTTATATTTTAGATCGCAATTTTTTGAATGATTAAATCATCACTAATATTTAAATAAAGGGGACTATTGTTTATCTGTGTTTTTTGCGACAATTTTAGTGAATACACGCGACACGTGTGTTTCAACACATTATTGATCAGTAAAACTAAAATTACAATGAAATAAAACATTAAAATAAGCAATGGATACTAAAAATAAAATGAGAGGAATATAGTTTTACATTATATACTTGAATAATGAGAAACCGTTATTATTATATTGATTCTAGAATATTATATAAATTTTTATTGAAACTCTTTTATTTAGTTAGTGAGAATACGTTTGCAGATGTGTTGTGCATAGTATCAAGTGACATTTGCAGTGAAAAACAAAGATATTTAGTACCTCTCTATCAGGAAAATCGCTTTCCAGTATATCACATAGCTACTAGAAGTATCATGAATTATGCTCATGATTTTTAATAAAATGTTGTACATTATTTTGAATATTTTCATGCGTCTATTAATATAATTTTACAAGAATATGTGGGAATCAATGTGTTACTACTTAGAAGATAGGCTTTAATATAAAGGGCGCAAGTAGTTTTGATTTTGGCAATTTCGGGACTATTACCAACGAGCTACTCTCTAAGAACTGGAATATAACTCTCTGCATATGTTTATCGAATCTTGCAGAAAACGATTGGGAGAATTCTTTCAAACGAAATACGATTGGGACTTGCTAGCGGCCCGAAGCATATGGGCGTTCGGGCCAGACGCCACAGGCCCCAATATTCTAGTAGACGATACCCTGCCATCGGAAGTGGACAAATCGTTGCTGAACAGTGCACGAGACGCCATCATTCAAGGGTTCCAGTGGGGCACTCGAGAGGGTCCCCTTTGCGAGGAGCCGATCAGAAACGTGAAATTCAAGATCCTGGACGCGGTTATCGCCCAGGAACCTCTTCACCGAGGAGGTCTGTAACTTTAGAGATAGACGTTCATCTACGTAAGAACGTTGCTCGTCTTTAAAACGCGAACGAAGAGTAACTTTTTTTTTGTTACAGGTGGTCAGATAATTCCAACAGCGAGAAGAGTGGCTTATTCCGCTTTTCTCATGGCGACGCCCAGGTTAATGGAACCCTATTTGTTCGTGGAAGTTCAAGCACCCGCGGACTGTGTGTCCGCCGTGTACACGGTGCTGGCCAAGAGAAGAGGACACGTGACTCAAGACGCTCCTGTTCCCGGAAGCCCGTTGTACACCATCAAAGCGTTCATACCAGCGATCGATAGCTTCGGTTTCGAGACCGACCTACGAACCCACACACAGGGTCAGGCGTTCTGCTTGTCGGTGTTCCACCATTGGCAGATCGTGCCCGGCGATCCGTTGGACAAGAGTATCACGATCCGACCGCTCGAGCCACAGCCGGCCACACACCTGGCCAGAGAGTTCATGCTGAAAACACGAAGGCGAAAGGGACTTTCGGAAGACGTTTCCATCAACAAATTCTTCGACGATCCTATGTTGCTCGAATTGGCGAGACAAGATGTACTATTAAATTATCCATTGTAAGGGTCGCTGTAATAATTCCGTGTAAAGACGTAACATTAAAGAACTAATTTTATATAAAAGCTCGTCCTTTTGTATGTACCTTGTTACTCCTGTTTTCATATCCAATTAACGTTAGATATCTAATGCACGAAGGAGAGGCGCGATCTTTGATCGATGCGTTCGATTAGCAAAAATAAAATTGCAACATTTTTTAATGGTAACAGAGTATCGAGTAGAAGGAAGCTTACGCAACGCTGCAAGCAAAATGGCGTCGTTTAAATCGATAGCCACGCCGTGGACTAACACGAAGACGCAAGTCATACCACGGAGCGTGCAGCGAGACATTCCACTCGGACAATGATAGTCAACCGCCATACGGGCAAGAACACTATCGTAATCGTGTCACGTCCGGTAACGATACGACAAGGTACGATTCCCTTACGCGAGAATCGACGTACGAATATCAAAGGCGCATTCTTTCACAAAATCAATTACACATACTATTTCGGAAACATCGAAAACGCCGTTTTCATACGTAAAATTTGATTTTACAAAGGTCCGTACAGATATATGCAGTAAATACAACTAAAGTGGGAATAAACACTCGAAAATCGTAGTTTCTACGAACGTGGTGACGTGGAAACGAAACGGTTCGAATATTCGAATTTCCAAGTCCCCAAAAATTATAGGAAGCCATTAAAAATTCGCAAACGCGAGTTATTTTGCCCCTTTATTGCCAAGCGGATGTTAAACAATCACGAAATTATTGAATTATTTATTAAGGAAACGATCGTTTCGACATTCGAAGCGTTTGGCGCTCCGCGGCAGGTCTGTTGAAATCTGTTGAAGATTCTCGACGTCGGAACGGTCTTGCGTACGTAGAAAATGGGGGTACAAGGCTAAAACTCGAAAATCCCGGTTAAGACATGGTGGTCGTTGTAAAAATTAGATATGGCGTGTGGCTGCCAGAGGGTGAGCAACGATACTTGCGAGATCATTATGTACTTATAGACATTCTTCGAGAGCTTGGGTGCACTCGACGATCGTAACGTCGCTGTACGTAGAAAACGAGCTTCTTAGCCATCTGGTGGTAATCGCGGCTAGTTTACGATCGCGGATATATGCGCGGACGTGTGCGATTTCGAACGATTAATTAGACGCGAACTCGTCGAACGTTCGGAACGAGTCGGCGCGTATGAAAAAAATGGGTGAAATTAGGGAATAACGTGAGCGTGGCCGATGTCGGAGATTCGAGAACGGGAACGTGGAAGAGTGCAATGAGACGGGCAGCGCGCGCAGTTGGCAGGCGGGGCCGCAACTGCGCAGAGTCGAATGGGTGGTCGTAGTGGTCGGAGCTTGACGCCATTTTACCGGCTGTAACCATGCCCATCCGTCCGCCCATGAGCGGCGATCGACCAGAGAGCCGTGCTGGCCCGATGGACGCAAAACCGGGTTCGCTCGGCTCGTTTGTCTCTTTTCAAGGCGACGGCCGCCACGAAGCGGACTACATACCGCGTCGCCGCCGATCGATCGGACGACTCCTCGTTCTTCTCTTCGTATCTCTCCCCCCACCCTGCGCCGTCGCGGTGCCGTACGCGCATAATCGCGCGCTTCTTTCTCGCCCGATCTTTCCAGCGCCCCGCGAACGTGACTAAACAACCGTTTCGCTTATTCGGTTTTTCTCTTCTGGGGCACGAAATTGCGAAATTCAGCAGCTTCCAGCGCTTTCGATCGCGATGCCCCGTTAGTTACAACGATTCTGTTGCGGGCAGGAAAGACACGCCCAAAGCGGCCGCACCAACTTCGAACGATCAAATAACGCGTATCGATAAAAGACACAATCAATAATAATTCTTAGAATTAAGAAACTGTAAGTATAACACATTTTTGCACCGGTAAGATACCACGAGTAGGTATAGATGGCAGTAATTATCTTTTTTTTAACATAGCGAACAGAAACAAATTGTGACAACGTCGAATGTATTAAATGTAGGTATGTCTCGGAAGATTGTTAATAGTGTTGTAAAATGTAAAGTCATACAAAAGGGGAGATATTGTTCTATAACATAAAAAATTAATTTATTCCAAGTTGTTTTAAGGATTGTTCGACTTTATTAATAAATAAACGTAATATTATAGAAAGTTGTTGCTTTTTATTTCAAAATGACCATTTTGGTGGGCGTACAAAGACAGTCGTATCCGGTTGGAAGTATTTATGTATTGATAAATACGGTTCGGTTTGTAAACACAAAAGTGGACTGTAAATTATTGACCGTGGAACAGAAGTTCATAGGTTGTTTTATCGACGAGTTCTAAGGGTTAAAAAACTATCGTGTAAACTGCCACGTGTATTCAAACTTGCGAGGCGTACTCACAAAACTTTGTCGCGAACGAAAAGTCGGTACACATAACTTGGGAGCGTACTCAGACCTATGTTCACATGACCTTCTTTCATTCTTTGGCCAAGTTGAATATGCTGGTAAACTAGGACCGTCTTCCTTACTATGTATACTCAGAGTATAGTCTAAACTTGCCGTTGATCAAAATCGTTCTTTCCGCTAAAGATTCGACCGGTACTTTCAAGAAAGGAACACGATTTTTTATAACTATACGATGCTGCAAAGAAAATTTCTCCCAAATATCGAACAAGCGTTAGCAAGATTTTTTTTTAAACTTACAATCGTTAAAAAAAAATTCACCACACTCTGTATAATTACAACAATTGTGTAAACCGTCTATGCATTTTTGATAGCAATTATCTACTTTCAACTGGAATTTGTCGACTTCTCTTCGTTCATTTTTAGGTTATGGTTACAGTGGATGAGAATACGTCAGAGCTGCTTAGTAGGCGAACGTTAAAGACCATGGTTACACACTGGTTGTGTGTTTCGATGAACTCCACGCACTTGTTTGGTGGATATGTTTGCATAATTTTGTTAAATTTGTTCTCGCGATATTGGTAAGAAAACTTTTTTTTAAACTACTATACTTTCTATACTTTTTTGAGAATAAAAAAAAATCGTACGTCAACCGATACAAAATGATATTGAGAAAATATGTATCAAATTTTATTAAATTCGGTTGAACGGGTTTTGAGTTATCAAGTACCCCAGTGAACCGCACGCGCCGCTACATGGTTAGGGGTAACGCCATTTTAACATAGGCATTTAAAAAAATTGTCTTCAAAAGCTCAGGAAATATTTCATAAATGGTAAACAGGTCATTTCGATCGAACCCCCACGTTTCTTGTAAACAAATCGCAAGAATACTGCTCGTTTTGATCCCGTCAAAGTGGTACAACGTTCAGTCGTAAATTGGAACCATTAACAAATAAAAAATATTTGTTTTTATCCTTTGATTAAACGAAAATTAAATTTTGATGGCAAATAGTGATTTTTGAGTTCCTTTACAAATTTCCTAAGTACTTTATATTAGATACCAGGTTTTCGAACTTCTGATTTTAGCGTCTTATTGCTTTTCGATATTATAAGATAATAGAATTTTTATACACTTGATCATTAAAATATTCCCGTCGATTTCATTTAAAAAAACTCCCCTATTTTCGGCAATATTTAAAATCGATTGTGCCATATTATCAACCCTATTCGTTATTCATGATTGAAGTCTATCCAACCCTGGTTGACGTTACGTTTCAACATTGTCGGAGAGGTGCAACGAAATGTCAGAAATTTGTGGCCGAAAAAGCACGACGATTCCGGTGCTGCTGTAAGAAACGTTTCAATAAGCACAACGACGCGGCCAATCAGGATCAACCGGTTACCAGATTCTATAAATAGCGCAACAATTTAAATTTACAATGGCCCGTGATGTACTGACGTGCTACGTTCTTACATACGGGATACATGTTTCTCGAATACGGTTCGTCTGGTTGTCGCAGCGTGTTATCGGGAGTCGGTGTGCCTGTGTGTGTAGCTATCGTAAGTAGAATGATGCCTTTACAAACGTGCATCAATGAAACACGACTAGGGCTAGAACTATCCGAATAACTTGACATTTAAAATATTCAAACATTCTGAACAAACTTCAAATATTCAAGTATTCGAACGTTGCTATTCCAGTATTTAAGTATACGAAAACCCACAATTATTAAATGAAATATCCGAATACCGTCCAGTTACATACACGAAAACTTAATGCATCGTAATACGTAGATAACCTTCGTCTGATCTCTACGTCAATTAACATCGAACTAATAATAAACACATCACGAAGTAAGAAGTTCGGACAAACGCAAAGATAAAAAGAAATACCAACAAAAACATTCGTATCCGGATACATTTGTCCGGTTCTGTAAGTATGGGTCAGAAATAACCCAGCTCCGATTCATCATCCGTCGTGCGATTGTTGAGAGGAAGACGAACACGTTCAAGAGTAGGTAGTATCGTAAAAATAACGTATCTTTGAAGTTTCGCTGTAAAGAAAAGACGTTTCATGTCCATCAACCTAATAATAAGCGGCTTCGCTAGCCGTGCCCCATATTTACTATGTAGTAGCATGCGGTGCCACTATTGAGTCCCCCTCCATATTTATCGTGCACGATATACTTTTATTGCAGCATGGACAAGTCACCGTTCGTAACGTGGCGCTGTTCGAAAGCTTCTTTTTATGCTCTGTGCGCCGCAACGGCACCCGATGTGTCCGATAATTAGAGCGACGTTGGAAAGGGACTGCATGGTCAGATGACGTACGGGTATCGGTCCAACGAGTTTCTCGCGCTGATTAATACCGGCGTATTCCCCGTTGCTTTTAATCGTAAGCCCGAAAAACGAATTCGCTACGAACGATTTACGTACGCTTCCTAATCGTTCGTTCGTCTCTAGGCCGTCTCGACCACCTGTAGTCTGACCAAACAGTCGGTCGGGTAAAGGAAGTTGCGGTTCTCGTTAAGGGTAAGCGCTAGACACGAAGAAGAAACAAACGTACGGCTTTACAGTCAGAATGTAGACCGATATCTACATAAGCATACATTGAATCTTTAAGGCGACGTGATAATTAACGCT